ATTGAGGTAAAACGTGTTTCTAGGCTGTGTTCCTGCGAAGCGGTGCCCAGGCCCACCTAACTGCAAACCTTGACTACAACTGATTAAAATTTAAGATTGGGGGTTGCACCCCGGGGTTTATTTCCCTACTGTCCTTCCAAAGAGAATAAACGGAAGGCATCCTGAGACCTTGGCCATGAGCAAGGCGCCCCACTGTGTGCTGCAATGCTGTTCCTTTCCTGCAGCTGCGGGCGATGAAACACCAACCGCAAAACTCAACAAACTTTGCATTTGGAGTTTATTGGGAAAGGGAGCAGAGGGAGGGGTAGGTGTTGGCCAACCGGGAACAGAGATGGGAGGGGGAAGAGAAAGAGAGACACAGAGACAGAACAGGGGACAGGAGAGGAGAGAGAGACAGGAAAAGTCTGCTCTACCCCAGAGAGAGGAGAGCGAGAAAGAGAGCAGAAAGAGATGAGCAGGCAAAAAGACTGTTAAGTGTGTGTGTGTGTGTGCCTGGGGGGGTGGGGTCTTTGCACCTGGGCTGACCAGGGCACTGTCTGAACACATTCTGCAAGGTGACTGGGGCGGGCCAGCATAATATCTGAACCCTTCTTATGCATAAGCCATTCAGATGAATGAAATACTAGAGATCACGTGTGGAGAAATTTACTTCCATTTTGAACACATTTCAGACTCGTTAAAATGCATGGACGAAGCAGGTGGTGTGAGCCCAGCCGGTAACAGGATTCGATAAATCCCCCTACTCTTTGTGTCTGAGTAAAGTCAAGCCAGCTGGCCGGGGCCATCTCCGGCATAAAGAACGAGTGATAACGAAGGGTGCTCAAGCCTGCACGTTTACACACTGCATGTTTTTAGAAGAAGATTCAAGCTTCAGGATAACCCTAGAAAACAGCACATAAAATTTTTAAATGCATTTTATTTATTTTCTCTTTGTGGGTATGCACATACCCACACATGCTCAAGTCTTGGTGTGCACGTGGAGGTCCGGGACAGACAGGTTTCAGAAGTTAGTTCTCTTCCTACCATACCATGTGGGTTCCAGGCAAGTCACCTGGCTAGGTAGGTGGCAAGCACTGGTTTGAATGCCCGAACCTTGACTTTTTTTTTTTTAACAAGACCGAATAAAAGTGTGGTTTGGGGAAACAATTTTAATCTTCATTGTGTGAGAGATTACAAGCAAAATAAATAAAAAGCCGTATGTTAAACCAAAATTTCCTTTATACTAAAGGATACTAAAATACAATCACATTTCTAAAATGAAACCATAGGTACACAGTTGTAGTTGTAAGCTAGGTCAAAAGCTATAAAGAGAAATAGCAAAGGGGCAAATGAAGACACTCCTGAATTCCCACTCTTCATCGGGCATCAAAAACCACCACTGTTGGACTGAGTTAAGGATTTTAAACAGTACATAAAAACTATGTAAAACTGAGGCTTCCAAGTCACCACCTCTGCACCAAGCTTGCTGTTTCATATAAAACGAACAAAAGACTGAACTTCATTATGGCCACCCGAGATAATCTAAAAAAATAAAGTACTCAGCTTCCATTCTCATTAGTTCACTCTCTATTACACAGAAGATAACAATACAGGTAAATTTTAAAAGATAATACGAAAAAGATATTTTAAAACACTGAAACACTGATGACTTTGAGAATCTGTGTCAGTTACGCTGAAACAATTTCAGTATTTGGACTAATTTGTAGGCCTATTTTCCACTAGGTTATTAATTTCTCCTCCCATACTTTAGATTGCCCATAAGCTAACAATCAAGAATTCCTGAAAAAACTAAAAACATTTACATAAACCCAAATCGATTAATTTTTTAATTACTTAGAGCCCATAATGAATGGCACGAAAACACTAATCATGTTTAGTAAAAAAAAAAAAAAAAAAAAAAGCTGGTGTACAAAAGGACTTTGGGAGCCCATCCCACGTGGAGGGATGCTCTCTCAGCCTGGACACATGGGGGAGAGTCTAGGCCCTATCCCAAACGATATGACAGACTTTTGGGATACCTCATGGAGGGCCTTACCCTCCCTGGGGAGCAGAGGAGGGGATGGTGTGGAGAGTTGGTGAAAGGCTGGAGAGAGGAGGGAGCAGGGATTGACAATTGAAGTAGGCTTGTTTCTAATTTGAACTAAAAAAAAAAAAAAGTAAAATGAATAAAAGCTAAAATCACTTACAGCATTTTTAAAACACACACACACACACACACACACACACACACACCTTTGTACAGGTGGAGGTTGGAAAAAGGGATCAGACCCCCTGAAACTGGAGTTACAGAGGATCATGAGTAATTATGTTGGTGCTAGAAACAGAACACAGGTCCTCTGGAAGAACAGCCGATGCCCTTACCTGCCTGCTGATATTTGTTTTTTTTGACACTGAGTCTCACTTAGTAGTTCTAGCTGGCCTTGAACTCACAAAGCCCTGCCTGCCTCTTTTCTCCAAGTTTGGTGAAAAATAATTCATATTAAAATAATATACATTTACGTCCTTCAGAGCCCCCCACATTCTCAGTTAATAAACTCTTCATTAATAAAGTCACATTCAATCTGCTTAGAAAAATAAACAATCCAAAAGTTGCTACTTTTATCAGAACTTGGTCTTTATCAACCGAGTATTAGTTATTCCTCTTTACGTTTAGAAAGCCCAGTCAGAAGGATACATCTTTTTGTCCTTTTCTTGTACATTATTCTGTATCCACATTCTCTGCATCTGATTGGATCCCTGGACTTTATTTCATTTTCCGTGTGACACTCTAGGGAATAAAACACGTTCAGTCAATGCCTGAAAGAGAAACACTACAGGGAACCAAATATAACCACAGACTTCGCCAGAGCAAGTCAAAGCCCCGAAACTAAATACACCAAGGAGGAAAGAAAAGAGCTGTCGGCAGCGTACCTTTTCCTGATGAAAAGACAAATCTTAACGAGGGACTTTTACATTAATGATGCCAAAGTGTTTCACTTGAACTCACAGAGATCCCCCTGCCTCTGCCTCCTGAGTGCTCCACTTTATAACTTTGAAGATCAGTACTCATATATGGAAAGTTGAGGTAAAATGTTCCTACTTAAGCAGGGCATTGGTGGCACATACCTTTAATCCCAGCACTAGGGAGGCAGAGGCAGGGGGATCTCTGTGAGTTGGAGACCAGCCTGGTGTACATAGTGAGTTCCAGGATAGGCTCCAAAGCCACAGAAAAACCCTGTTTCAAAAAAACAAAACAAAAGCAAAAAAAAAAAAAAGCCAAACAAACCAAAAAACCAAAACAACAACAAAAAACGTTCCTACTTAAATGTTAATCTTACCTCCGCAAATATATATCATCGGCTGCTGCTTTGGGGGTTGGACGTCTTTCTGCGCGTCCATTGCTAGTGCCTGAAATCAGAGCCAAAGCTTGAATAACAAGATCATCACACAAAACCAACCAGGCCCCCTTTTCCCCAGCAGCTACGCAAGGTCCTGATTCCGGGGTGAAGAGAAAATCTCAGGTGTAGAATGTTTGCCCAGAACATAGCGGCTCGAGGATCAAACCCCAGTATTACAGAACGAGGGGAAAAAAATTATAATTCCTTATTTGAAACCTCCCCTTCCCCACCAACTGTGGGCTGGGTCTGAAGGAGGAAACACATTCTCAACAACACAGAATCAATCTCGAAGGTCTATGACACTCTTGAAGGTGCCAGAGAGCATCACTCTTTACACTCGGGGAAACCGAGGCTAAGCACAGCTCTCTGTGTGCCCAGCGTCTTCCGCCACTAAGAAGCAAAGGGGGGCTGGAGAGATGGCTCAGAAGTTAAGAGCACCGTTTGCTCCTCCTGAGTTCAATTCCCAGCACACACATAGCAGCTCACAACTGTGTGCAACCCCAGTTCCAGGGCACCCAGCTGACATCCATGCAAAATACCCAATGCACAAAAAATAAAAATAAACTTAGAAACCCTGTCTCGAAAAACCAAACAACAAATAAACTAAAAAAAAAAAACCCACAAAAATCCGCTAACTCCGCCGGGGATCTTGTCATAAATCATTTTTTAAATTTATTTTATTTTATGTGCGTTGGTGTGAGGGTGTCAGGTCCCCTGGAACTGGAGTTGCAGACAGCTGTGAGCTGCCATGTGCGTGCTGGGAACTGAACCCAGGTCCTCTGGAAGAGCAGCCAGTTCTCTTAACCACTGAGTCATCTCTCCAGCTCCCAAGGTGCTTTTCTTCTTGA